TCTTCGGCTCCGCTCGGCTCTCTTCGGCTCCGCTCGGCTCTCTTCGGCTCCGCTCGTGACGTCACCGCGCGTTGCGCATTGCGGGGTGATTGTGATTACTCGCGTATTACGCGAGCGCTCAGTTACCGCTGAGGGGTGGGAGGGGAGCGCTGACTCACCCGCCGCGTCACTGCTGGTGTGGGGGGGGCTCGGATTTCGCAACATGTCACAATATCTTATTTTGTTTTTAACTTTTTATGCCTATAAGAAATGTGGAAAATCTGCAGGAAATATGAATTTCCAAGTTCATTGTTTACACCATAAAAATATGTTGCATGACGTCCCAAAATACAAGTTTTTAAAATAAAAATATAAAATAATGTGATTTTATTTTGGGTTTTATTACAACTTTGTCAGTAGTACCAACTGGGATTTCTTTGGCACCTCATAATTTAAAACATTACCAGAAATTATGTATTTGTTGACACATGATCCTGCATTCTTATTGTTGTCATCTGGGAGGGTTTAATTAATTATTTGATTTATGGTGCTAGTTTGAATCACTACATATTGAAAAGATAGGTCAGGCACATTTGGGTGTGTAATGAAAGATGATACTGAAGCACCACAGCGCTTTGATGAAACTGGCTTGTTTAGTAAATCATGTATTGAGTAATAGACATTTCTGCCATCTGATACTGAATAACTTTGGTTCTTTGTATTCATGTTCCAAATTATTTCAGTTAATGGACACCTGATTGTTGCGGATACCATGCAAAATTTGGATTTGTTACAAAGCAGTGAAGTACAGCATGTGGCATTGGAAGTGGAAGGAGGTATAGATGCACAGCAGGTGACATTGGAGGAAGTGGATATGGGGGCAGAAGAGACAGTAGATGAGTCTGTCAGTAGAGCAGATCAAGAAAGAAACTCAGGACCAGTAACTGAAGGTTCAGCACCAAATGCTACTCCATCAGAAATTCAAGTTGGAGAGGTTAGAAAGGGGTATAATATAGTGACTACAGTATAATTTTTGTCAGTTCAATTACAGTAAGCGACTGAGGTTCAGTAAAATTGCAATAAAAAGATGTATCCACATAACATGCCACGAACACATACAGGACATCAAAGAACCCTCTTCTTGAGACCGACAAGGCAGCACACATTCGGCCCACATCAAGAGAAATAATAAGAGGGACGACATGAACCTGCTTGGTTTACGTGTTCAAATAGAGTCTCAACAAACCATTCATAAATATTTTAAAGTATTGGAACAGCCGCTGTAGTTGTAAAGACTTTAAATTTTATACCCAGTTGTATATTATTTTATATGTAGAAAAAAAGTAAAGCTGTCCCTGTAATAGGCTGTGAAGGCCCATAGGGTTGTGAGACATTGAGGGTCCCGCATTATCTAGACAGTCGGCCCAAAGATGGCGGTAAGGTTATCGGCCTTACCCAGGAAAATTATTCAATTAATTCCTGGTACTCATTTCTGTTAGAGGCTGAGTCAACCCCAGGGCCATAGTGCGGCTGGAAGGATTAGGTCAATTGAAAAAAATCCAATGACCTCATTGGGACTTGAACCCGTGATCTTCCAGCTTGTAGGATAGTGCCTCAACCAACTACGCTACCGCATGCCTCATTATTTTGTACATATACATTTTAACTTTCAGAACATATGTTGTAATAGTAGTCTCGAAATGTACTGATGTAAAGTTGTCCCTCTGATGATGGTCTCAGAAGACCGGAACATGTAAGGGCATAACTAATTTGAAATAAGAAAAATCTTCACCAGTCACACTGGACAGAACTTTAACTTTTCAAGATGTATCCAGTTACAATTGAATTCACTGTTTTTGACATGCATCAATGTTTTGCAGCATAAAGTGAAACCAACTAATGCTTACTGCTTACTGATTTAAAAAACAATACATTTGGTAATTCAGTTCTTTTAGCCTTTCCTTTATATAACATTCATTTTGTTCATTGTAGGAAATGAAATATCTCTAATTGTGGACAGCCATGTAGTGGAGAGTTTTAGTATTATAAATCCTGGTTGAATGGAGGAGAGGTCTCAGATATTTTGGAAAGACTGTCTGCATCCATCTTCATGATTTCTTCATGATTGAACATTACATGTAGCTCAAAAATGTCATAAATTCTATTCAACCAATGTGTTTTATGATTTTATCATGAAGTTAAGTATTGACTTTTGCTATGCTGAAAAACTGTATTGGATTGTTCTGTATTGTTAAGAAGTGGAAGGTGACATTAAAAAGTCCTAAGTTTTCAAGTTCTAAATTGTGAACCAGAATGCCTTAAGGTTATGAAGAGTTCTGTCTTCTGGGATCTAACACTGTGTAGCTCATTGAAAGTAAACTGACATTTCAGAGGAACATGTTGCGTCCATCTTCAGAGTTGTCTTGTGTTGGCATCAATTATACCCAGACTTTTCCTTCATTCCATGGCCTACCATGACTTTCTCTGCTCCTCTTATCCCCAACTGCATGCTTGCAGCCCGTGCACACAGTTGCTCTCCAACACTCCTTAGTGCTTTTCCCACAGCACACTTTTATGATTTTCTCCCCTGTGTTCCCCCCTTAAAAGTGCCAAATGTAATCACCTTTCTGTCTTGTGTAGTTTTGACTTGATTTTCTGATGGAGTCAGTGGGAACTGACAGGTTTGTTTCCAAGGTCCCTTCTACTTCTAAGTAATTCTGAATTTTTCCAAGCTATGTGCTTTGCTTTATTTCTGCCTCATGCTGGTTTCTTGCTTTGCTTACTATTCAACACTGAAGATGGAGATGACACATTCCACAAAAGTGACATTTGACTCTTAATGAACTACACAGCATTATATTAAATAAGGTAGAACTCTTAGTTTAATTTTAATATTTGATTTTGAGTGTAAGTAGTTGCAGTGGTGGCTCCTAGTTATAGTGTGCACATAAAGTGATGCTGACTGCCTCAGTGTTAGTCTGGTTCCTGTGACAGCATGAAGCAGGTGGAAAGCGGCTATGCTTGCTGCCTACTTCTTGCTGGCATCTTGCATCGCCTACATTTCAACTGTGAAGATGGAGGCTTTATGTTCCTCTGAAATGTTGGTAGATTTTACCAGGCTACTTGGCGTTATATCCCAGAAGGCAGAACTCTTTATATCACATGTTTGGAAATTTTAGTTTTCTTTTAAAATTGTATGTTTCTGAGTCCGTATACTGAAAGTCTTGACTGTGTCTTGCTGCCTTTCAAAACCATGTTGATGGTTCAATTTCTTTCAATTTCAGATGAGTGAAGAAAATATTAATGATGGCAATACTGTACATTTAATGATAACAGCAAATTCACAATCTTTACCACATAAAGAACCTGGCTTGCAATCTGTTTTGCAAAGAAGGGGATGTCGAGGAAAGAAGAAAGAGGGAGAAAATGGAAGACAGACAGACACAGATGATGCTCCTTATGAGTGTGAATATTGTCAGAGATCATTCAACACCCCCTCACAACTAACAAGTTAGATGCTTATATTTTTCTTTTATGTCTAGGAACAAGGGTCAGATACAACTGAGTGCCAACTAAGTGAATTAAATTCCTTCTTTATAACTGTTTCTTGTGTTCAATATATGTTAAGGAGAAATGTATCTATGCCTTTTCAAAAAGTCTGATTATAAGAACTCATTGAAATTATGAGGTAGCTTAGCAGAATTTTTAGATATTTTTCATACAGTTCATGTATAACATTTGGATATATATGCTTTCTTATTTATATTTGCAAAAATATGTAGTTCATTCTCCAGAATATGGAATTAGTAAGTACATGTTAGTAAGTTCCTCATGTATTAATTTGATGAAACTTCACTCTGCCAGAGTAACATATTACACTAGTACTGTCTTGTAAAACATGTCTAAACAGCTGTGTGATATTTGTTTGCCATCTGTTGCTGTTCATAATTGTATTACAAAATATGTTCTTCCTTACTTTGTTTTGAATATGTTTCATTAAGATAATATTTTAAACAGAAATTCCCTTGAAACTCTTTTACAAGTTGAAGCATGTTATCTTCTGAGATGTAATGTCATGTAGTCTGGTATAAGTTTACCAGCATTTCTAAATAGTGTAGTGCTTCCAGCTTGATGCAGTATCATTGTGAAAATCAAACCATTACAAGCTTATTAAAAAACTGTCAGAATGCTAAATGAATTAAAGTTAACTTATTTTGCTTCTCTTTGCCCAGAAATTTCATTGACTGATCAAAGAACAGCACCAATGAAAATTTTCAGATGATCAGTAGTTATTAGATTTAAATGAAGTGAAGTTTAATAGTAATTTGTAGTATTTAGTTACATCAATATTTATTTGATGGGAGTAGGATTTTTTTCATGTAGTTACATTGTCAATGACAATTGTACTTGTCTTTCAGTTTTAGATTATATCTCAAGCTCAATACAAAAGTCAGTGTATAAAAATCAATCTGTGCTTCTGTACTTTCATTATCATCATATCTGTTATCTATTGTTATTGTTATCTATCTATTGACATTTCCACTTAGAGACAACACAGGCCTAAATGCTGTTCCAGGTAATGAGAAATATTCCTTCACTCTTCATTCAAAAGTACAAGATTTGCTTTCTGAAATATTCATCACAGTTACAAGTAATAACACAGAATTTACAGACACCATAACCAAAATATTATTGGTGTAATTCTTGAAACACTTTTATATAATGTGACATGACGCCTGAAAACTGTGATAGTGGAGGTAGAGCCAGGCATCCATTGCTAGACAATGGCTCAGTGATAATGTTTCCACAGCAATGAATACGACTGAAGAAGCAATGCATTGCATACAGAGTCTCATTAATTGCTAGGCAACGCATGCAGAAACGTTTCTGTTCACATGGCAATGAACATCCACAGCACAGTAACCGTGTAGAACGTGATAACTTTACTGCTGAAGGAGATGATCTCCTTATGGTTTGACCAAAACCTACCTCAGGGAGAGAATTGATCAACAGAAGAGGACATAACACAGAAGAGATGGTCGGAAGTCAGAAGTGAAGTCTTTCGTTTATGTAGTATTATCATCGTTTGTAGTTATGAAATGTTATAAGTGAGATTGTATTATAACTAATTGTAGTTCTGCGTGGTGGATATCCAGTAAATCGATTCATCTGATCCGGAACCCATTAATTACTTGTCGCATTACCAGGATACATGACAATACATTGTTGCATAAATGTTTAGATTAATGCACATTAATGTTCATGGTATGAATAAAGGAACAGCGTTTTCAAGGAGTGAAAAGAATAGGATGGTAAAATATGCTGCCTCAGCCAGCTGTTTGGTTTGTCAGTCTGTGGCACTGGTCCTGATTCCACCACGACTTACCTTATTGACAAAATTTCCTCCATTCTTCTCTTTCCCCCCATAAGCACTCCTCTTGCAAACTTCATCTTTATTATGGTAGCCTGAAATGAAGACAGTATACATGGAACACTATAAGAAGTAGAAGCATGAAAATTTTAAGTTTATGTGATTTAATATATGCTACATATTTTCCATTGTTTTGAAATCTGTGTTGATCATGATACAAGTAACAAATAGTTTGTTATTCACTGGAGACCAGGAGAATCATAAAATAATTCCATTTGTGTGTCTGATGTTAGCAAGGTATGTACAGTCTGTTATGGCTGGGGATTTTGTACAAGGGGAACCGCAAACCAAATCTCCTGGCTCAAGTAGCATAACTCAGTCTGTGTTAACCCAGGACATGCAGAGTGTACAGGGCCCAGCAGAGAAACCTGATGTTTTTAAATTGGCACTAGTTTGGTTTTTTTTTTATTGCTAGTGGGGTGGGACTAAGTCCCTTGTACTGCGGCCACTTCTGGCCTATTGTACCAGCCCCAGATGATAGGTGAGGGTGACTGTGGAGCAATTGGTGGAATGAAGATTGGCAGGGGAAACCAAAGTACTCGGAGAGAACCTGCCCCAGTGCCACTTTGTCCACCACAAGTCCCACTTGACCAGACCTGGGATTGAGTCCGGGCCACTGCAGTGGGAAGCCAGTGACTAACTGCTTGATCTATGGCGCGGCCCCAGTTTGGGGTTTGGTGGTGTGGGAAGAGAGGGCTCACTGACTTTCAACAGCTCAAAGTATGCCATTTCAGTAGACATGGAACAGTGGACTGCAGAACATCGTGCTTTTGTCGAGACTTTTTTTTTAAACTAGTGACTCTGTTACCCTGACTCAGTGACGTTTCCATGTGCATTTTAATGTGGGTCATCACAGAAAAGTTCCCAGTAGGAACACAATTTTGTTGTGGATAGCAAACTTCAGATTGACTGGCTCATCACTAAAGAAGAAACCAGTGACTCGTCCCCGTCATTCTGCATTTCAGATCAGAGTGTGAGACGAATATTACACCTCGATTTACATTTTCATCCATACAGGATGATGGTTGTGCAAGAGTTTCATCAACGTGATTGGTGAACCGAGTTGCTTTTGCAAAAAACATGCTTGAAATTGTAGTAGATGACATGGTGCAATGATTTTCCATGGCCTGCTCGGTCGCCTAACTTGAGTGTATGCGATTATTTCCTTTGGGGTTACCTCAAAGAGAAGGTATTCATCAAGAGACCACGTACAGTTCATGAACTGAAAGTTGCGATTGAACATGAAATCGCAGCAATACCCCCTGACATGGTAAGACACTCAATGACCAACTTGAAGATGGGGCTGCAAGAATGCGTATTAAGATATGGTAATCATATGGATGGCATAATTGCAAGACAAAATGAGCTGGCAGTTATACACACAAAAGGCATACATTGTTAAGTATTATGACAAATAAAATAAGTAAAAGAAATAAAAATTGACTCTATTGTACTACTTTTGAATCCATCAGGTTTTCCTGCTGGACTCTGTAGTAATCAAATAGTTAATTCATTGTTTATTTTACATACATATGTAGGCTTAATTATTGATTTGTGACAGTGCTTTGTATAGTTATAGATGTATTAAAAACTCCCCTAATACACATGTTATACGTGGTGCTATGAGAAAGTTCCCGAAATTTGAATTTTGCGCGCGAATGGTTATGAGTGCATCAAAGTACCGCTAGGTGTCTTCCCACACACCCTTCTTGAATCAGTGTGGAAAGCGGCGTCGAGTTCAGTGGTTGGGTTTATTGTTGGTGAATGTATTTCCATTGTTGTGTTTCCATGAGTTTGCGGTTTTGTGATGGCTGACCTGAGAGAGCAGTGTGTCTTTATAAAGTTTTGTTTTAAACTTGGGAAATCTGCTGCAGAAACGCACCAAATGTCGAAGCAGGCTTTTGGTGACGACAGTTTAGGCCAGACACAAACTTATGACTGGTACAAGTGTTTCAAAAATGGCCGAACATCAACTGATGATGATGATCGTTCGGGATGGCCATCAGCTGGCACCACCAGAAAATGTCACGAAAGTTAGGGATCTGATTCTGCAAGATCATAGACTGGCCATCCAAGACCTCTGTAACACCTTGGGGCAAAGTTGTGGTACATGTCAACGAATTTTATCAGAGGAACCGAACATGAGGAGGATTGCGGTGAAGTTTGTGCCATGACTGCTGCAAAATGAACAAAAGAAGCATCACTTGGAAGTCTGTAGAGAACTTCAGCAACAGCTTCAAGAGGATCCAAACTTTCTTTCGAAGGTTGTCACTGGTGACGAAAGTTGGGTTTATGGCTACGACCCTGAAAGTAAGGAGCAATCGTCGCAATGGAAGAACCCTTCTTCACCTCGGCCAAAAAAAGATTGACAAGTCAAGAGCAACATTAAGTCCATGTTGATCTGTTTTTTGATATTGACGGGATTGTTCATAAGGAGTTCATCCCTCTTGGTCAGACAGTCAGTAAAGAGTTCTATTGTGATGTTCTAAGGCGTTTGAGAGAGGTCATGAGGAGAAATCGTCCAGAGAAGTGGCGCATGAACGACTGGGTACTCCACCATGATAACGCATGACTGCATGTGGCTTACATTGTGCAGGAATTTTTGGCTAAAAACAAGATGGCAGTTCTCCACCCACTGTACTCGCCAGACTTAGCTACATGCGACTTCTTTATCTTCCCCAAGATGAAAATCAAATTGAAGGGGCGAAGATTTGATACAGTTGAGGAAATTCAAGCAGAAACACCCTAACAAAGAAAGACTTCCAGGATGCATTTCAAAAGTGGCAGAAATGCTGGGATTGGTGTATGCTCTCCTAAGGGGACTACTTTGAAGGTGATGGTGCAAAATAAGATCCAGGTAAGACATAAGCAGGTAAGCTGCTTACCACTGCCAATTAAGAATGAGGACGCAGAGACCTGGAGAATCCCTGCAAGACTTTGCCATGGCCATTGAACTCCTTTCCCGTCATGCCTACCCCAATCTACCTGCTGACCACATAGGAAGGGAGGCAGGAAAAGCCTTCGCATATGGAATACGAGATGCCGATATAAAGTTCCAGCTGCTGCTGGGAGGGGAGAAGACGGTAAACGAGGCCCTCCGACAAGCGCTAGAGCTGCAGGCGGTACTGGTAGCAGCCAGACCTCACGGAGATAGCACAAAGTTCCGATCGTCCCCCACCCAACAAGGAGATGACAATAAACAGCACCAGGACCGAAAAGAAGGACCTCCAAGAAATAAACGGGAATCACTGGGGAAATCAGAATGGCGACCCAGAAACAACAGGGAAAGAAGCTGGAGAAACGACCAACCGTCGGGAAACGAGCGACGGCCGGCGGAGAAGGGCGAACGGCGGCATATGCATTAAGGCCCCCACACTACGCACTCACCGACATGACAGAGAAAGCCAACACCAGTCTGGTCACCCAGGGATGGGTCGGTGATAAGCCGTGCCAGGTGACAGTGGACACTGGAGCATACATCATGGTAGTAAGACTGGATATCGCCGCCAGATGGCCAAATCCAGATTTTATGCTGCAGACTGTGTCTGGAGGATCCTTACCCATCCTGAAAGAAGTTCTGTTGACCCTTACCCTGGGGCGTCAACCGATAACAATGTGGGTTTTCGTCGCGAATATCACATGTGCTCATCCTGGGACTGGACATACTGTGCGCCTATGATGCTTCAGTGGATATAGGGCGCCAGACTGCGTCTGGCGGAAGAAGAAGTTTCGCTATGGAGTCCTGTGGCAGGACCCCCTCCTTCTAGCTTAGTGGTGGCAAAGGACCACGTGATACCCACACGGAGCGAGGGAATAGTGATGGCTAAAATGAAGAATCATCTGGGAGTAGAGAATGGTCTAGTAGAACGAAGCCCCCAGGCTTGGTGGGATGTACAGGTGGATGTACACCCAGACGACGAAGAGAAAACAGCGTTTTCGACAAGGCAAGGGTTATGGCAGTTCACAGTCATGCCCTTTGGCCTCTGCAATGCCCCGGCAACCTTCGAGAGGCTAATGGAGACAGTCCTACGAGGGCTCACGTACGATTCATGCCTTGTGTATTTGGATGACGTGATCGTAATAGGCCGCACATTCCAAAAGCACATGCTCAACCTACGGAAAGTGTTTGAGAGGTTCAGGGAAGCCCGTCTGAAACTTAACCCGGAAAAGTGTAAACTCTTGCAGGAAGAGGTAAGGTACCTCGGGCATATTGTATCACCAGAAGGGGTATCCACCGACCCAGAGAAGTTAAAAGCCGTGTGAGCGTGGCCAACCCCGAAGNGAACATTTCCACAAGCACCTCTACGGACAACAGTTCCATCTGCGAACGGACCACTCTGCGCTTACTTGGCTTATGAGTTTCAAGAACTTAGAAGGACAAACTGCGCGTAGGATACAGCATCTTCAGGAGTACAACTTTAATTCGGAGCATCGGCAAGACCGCAGACATAACAACGCCGACGCCCTTTCTAGACGACCCTGCAAAGAGCAATGTACGCACTGCCACAAAGTTGAGACGCAGGCAGAGGTAAAATGAATACACATTGTTGGAACCCTACCAGCAGCTGGCTGGGACCCTGTTACCCTGAGAGAGGAACAGCTAAAAACCCAGATATAGGGCCTATTCTACGGGAAGTAGAAAACGGCCAACGACCGAAATGGCAGGACATTGTGGATTGGAGTCCCACGTACAAAAGCTACTGGGCCCAGTGGAAATCGCTCGCTGTGAGAAACAGCGTACTAGAGCGCGACTGGGAATCCGCCACTAGAAGACGTCAAGTAGCCCAGATAATTATTCCTCGGAGCAGGGTGAAGGACGTTCTGAGTGAACTACACGGTGGGCCATCAGGAGGTCACTTCGGTGTCAACAAAACTCTGAACAAGGTTTGGCAGAGATTCTACTGGCTCCAAGCAAGAACTGATGTTGAGAAATGGTGTCGACAGTGTGACACATGTGCAGCCAGTCGGGGGCTGCGGACCAGGAATCATGGGCAAATGCACCAGTATAATGTCAGGGCTCCCTTCGAGAGAGTAGCTATTGATATAGCAGGACCCTTCCCACGAAGCAACCAAGGAAACCGATACTTACTGATCGCTATGGACTACTTCACCAAGTGGCCGGAAGTGTACGCCATCCCAAATCAGGAGGCTTCAACAATAGCGGAAGTTCTGGTTGCCAACTTCTTTTGCCGTTTCGGCATACCTCGGGAGTTTCACAGTGACCAAGGCCGTAACTTCGAGTCTCATCTACTGAAAGAAGTTTTGCAACGCCTGGGAGTGAGCAAGACGCACACCACACCCCTGCACCCACAGTCAGATGGAATGGTGGAACGCTACGTCAAGACCATCGAGGAGCACTTGCGGAAGGTCGTCTCATCGCACCAAATGGACTGGGATGAGAGGTTACCCCTCTTTCTCCTAGCTTACAGGGCATTCACTCACGGCACAACGGGCCTGACCCCTGCTGGCCTAGTGTTCGGACGAGAACTACGACTACCTTGCGACTTGCTCTTTGGAGTACCCCCAGACAAAGAACAACCCACAACCGACTATGCAGCAGACTTAGTGGATCATCTGCATGACATCCACAATTATGCCCGGCAAAACCTGAAGCTTGCCAGTGACCGGATGAAAACTCGGTACGATAAACTGGCCAACTCCGCAGGTTACGACGAAGGTGACCGAGTCTGACTCTATCGCCCAACCCACAGAAAGGGGAAATCGCTGAAACTACAAGCATCATGGGAAGGTCCTTACAAAGTAGTGACCCGGATAAATGATGTGGTTTACCGAATCCAGAAGACCCCTAGGTCGAGGATGTTGGTTGTACACCTCGACCAGCTCGCGCCTTATCATGGAGCTGCTCGAGACGAGCAACCATAAAAAGGGGGAAGATGTAGCGGTTGGAGAGCAGAGCAACGGGGAGAAGAGAAACAGTAGAAGGACACAAAGAAGATGCTGCAAGAACAGCCTCCAATGAAAAGGAATGGGGGAAGCACCGTTAGGCTATTCGGGACGAACAGCCTTAAGGAGGGAGCAGTGTGACGTGTTGTGCAACGGAGGACCCCTACCTCCCCAGCAACACCTGGCGGTAACGTAGCGCTCCCTCCTCCCTCCGCGGTGATGTAACGCGCAACATGCGGTGACGTAAGATGGCGCGAGGTAACAGCGTTGCTAGGCACCGCTTCCTACTGTGACGTGGCAGGTGACCCTAGCAACAGCGAACGGAATAAAAGCCGGCTGAGCAGCAAGCGAGAGTCAGTGCGTTATCAACGAGTTCTCAGGTCACAAGTTACAAGCTACAGACGTGTGTGCGAGAATCAGTGATAGTTCGTGATAACCAGTTATATTTGGAGTGTGTACTTCACGGAGATTTGTAATGTGGCAATAAAGAACCCGGATTACTTTTATGACTCATTTCCGGCCACGTCATTGACGAAGAGGAGGGTAGGGCATTGACCCTTGGACTTCCCTCTACCGTCACACAAAGTTTCATTCACGTGCATCGGTTAGTCTGGCCGCGACCATTGTTAGAAGCGGATCGTGTTTCTGAGCTCCGTCGGAATAATGCTGAGTGCTAATGCAGAACAACGTGCTAACATCAAATTCCTCACAAAACTTGGAAAATCTG